CCGCCACAGCGGTACCTATTTATCTACTTGCACTTGGTATCTACTTGGTAGATATTTATCTACTTGGTATGTTTTCAAACTGCCAGGTTGGCAGGAGCTGGGACAAAGCAATGGGAGCTCGCCCCGTTGTGGAGATTTGAACCGCCAACCTTCTGATCGGCAAGCCCAAGAGGCTCAGTGGTTTAAGCCACAGCACCACCTGCTCCCTGGTGTCATACTGCTCTCAAAAAACACCTTAGAATGCTGCCCCCCATACCAAATCCTGAATGACAGGTGGAGATTTTCTATAGTCTTGGTATACTGAAATTTTCTTCCTGGAACTGGAGTAATTTATGTATGGAAACAATGTGGAATCACAAGATTCCCTTAGCAAGAGATTATTCAAAGCCTAGTGACATTAGAAACAGGGGGAAGGGGAGCATAAATGCAGCCAAAAGAAACACTGTTGAAAGGAAAACTGATCATTTTCATGAGTCAATAAATGTTTCTATATCTGTAGATCTGGTGGCTGTAATGGCTGGTTACTATAATAACCACTGGGAAATAATAGAACAACATAATGGCAAGTTAAATAGCAACGGATTGAATACACATCTCGATTATGACAAAGCTGCTTCTGAGTTAATTGTCTGTGAACTGTGTTTATTTTAACAGTTGCAGCAAAAGAAAGTGGTAGAGAGCTACTTTCAACTAAACTAGCAACATCAGTTATATCCATGCACTTTCAGACATCGCTGTAAATTTAAACAGAGGGAGGGCCAACGGATGTGATTCTGTTCCTCATGCTAACATGCACATAAGAGAAATACAAAGAAAATACAAATCTAAAATGATGAAACAGCATTAAATCCATCTGTAAAACCAACAGAAAGAAAGACTATCCGGCATTACTTCCCTGAAAATGCCTGGTTGCTAAACAAACTTTCAGAGCATGTGGCACCTGTATGCCTCCTCCTTCCCCGATTCTGTCCCTGGCAACTCAGCCAAAAGTAACTTCCTGGTCCAGAAGAATAGCTATACTCATATTATTTGGACTCTTGTATTTGTGACTTGATTTTGTATCTGACGTTACACCACCAGCCAGTTGAACCGTTACATCCATTTTTAAGGGTGGGGGAATATTAAAAATATCTAAAGTGATTTCTTTCCTATCATGTGCTCTGCTACTGAATATAATCACACAATCAAAATCCCACAATCACTGCAGTGTCAGGCTCATGAGAAGTAGCTTTAGAACACAAATGTTAAGAAATTCCAATTTAAAAGCACAAATGGCATTTGACCTAATTCTTGCCAATGTTAACGCTGCCCTCAGGATTATGTATAGCATAAATAAATACAGACAGGAATCTGATAAAGCTTTTGAATCCTGACAAAATGTAAGCAGTGCGGAGTAATACAAAGAGGAAATTAATCTCAAGGGTTATTGCCAAAGGCTTAAATTCAACTAAACTTGGACAAAATGATCTTGAAGAGTCTTTTCTTCTTCATTATATGTAACATTACAAGATGGGTGAAAGGCCTGAGCTTTGAAATTTCAAATGAATAATTGTAATGATTTGTGGAAATAGTGCCAAACCTGGTAAGTATAAGTCTGAAAGAAAACGTGTACAAGCTGCTTTTTCATTGGTGCTTAACTCCTCAAAGGGATAATCATACAGTATTTATAATGGCTCCAACAAACACAGTTGGAGATGTAAATCATTTGGTCTAGTCTTGTCAAGAATATATGGTCCTTTTGGCTTAGGGCAATTCATGAAATTGAATAATTCACAGAATATGCTTTTCCTAGGAATCCTTTGGTTACCCAGTTTCATTATGTTTATGGTATGGTTCACATAGAAGCCAGAGAGATGGTTATTCACTTACTGAGAAGTGTGTGGATGGTAATCAGTCCCAACTGGAAAAAGCCTAACCCTCCTACATTGGACGATTGGTTATTGAAACCAGGGGACATAGTTCAGATATGTAAGTTGTTAAATGTGGTTAGAATGTGAGAGGAAAAAGCATCACAATCCATTCATTGAGAAGTGGAGTCTTGTTTATTTATTACACCAGTAACTAAATACAGGATATCAATCCATTTACTGTTGGGAACATTATAAAATTTAGCTGAAATTGCAAATAATAATGGAAAAGGACATTTTATTTTATTTTTATTATGGACTGAAGGACCAATATTTCTTTTTATGTATCTTTTGGAAACTTGTACATTAACAAGTTAACATTGCAGGTCAAATGCCTGTCAGAATATAAATATCTTGGCCAATCAGCAAGGAGACTGGGGATTAAAAAAACACCTCCCAGGTAAGGAGTTCTACTATATAAACATGATGAAAAGGAAGAGCCTTTTCTTCATCCCAACAAGCATCTAATGTTGTATTATCACAATGTTGTATTATCACATCACAGCCATACCTTGAAATATCTCCCCACAAGTGGGAAAAGCAACCATGAACCTAAAGAAAGAAAAGAATGGATTATTTTAAGTTAACATCTGCTGAGATTCTGACAAGATTTAAGGACATGCTGAAAGGCTCTAAAAAAGCAGACAACATCAGCCCCATATCATGACTGTATTCATCAGATATCTCAGCCTCTCTCCAAGTACCAATTTGTTTGTTTCTGTGGTATCATACTAGGTGACCCAGCATGGGCCAGGGATAAAGAAGTTTTAAGGAAATTGAAGGTGGCATTCCCCGTCCCATGATGCAAGATTACATCTTTGCATTTCTTCTGCATTAATATTTCCTCTGATCGAAACCCTTGTGCCAGTTTTGTTTTCTGGATTGAGAAAAGTGAGGAATGAAAGTGCACACTAAAGTTAACTGTAAAACGCAGTCGTACCTTGGAAGTCGAACGGAATCCGTTCCGGAAGTCCGTTCGACTTCCAAAACGTTTGGAAACTTCTGCAGCCAATTGGAAGCCCTGTCAGATGTTCAGCTTCCCAAAATAACCAGAACAGTCACTTCTGGGTTTGCAGCGTTCAGGAGCTGAAACGTTTGAGAACTAAGCTGTTCAAAAACCAAGGTATGACTGTACACAACTCTTATCTGCTTCAAATCTGTGCTTGAATTAAGTGGGACAGAGCTCTGGGAGGAATTCAACATAACCGTAAGAAGATTGCTCTGTCACTGAAAGCATTTCTGTTTGTCTGATGGAAGGATCTCCTCTCTCTCCTCTGCTGTGCACTTCTCTGGGGCTGCTACCGTGGCCTAACAGTTACTCCAATATGGGTGTGACATTAACATTCAGATGAGGTCTCTAGTGCCTCATCCTCTGTGCTGTTTCTATAGGAGAGTTCAGTGCCGGTGTGTGTGTGGAGAAACAAAAGTCCATCTATGATAATCATACACAAACATGTTCCATTATGCTCCTTTCCCATAGGCACTGTTTCTGAACTGTACTTACCAATGTTTATTACTCACAGCTATTGTAAAGGGATGTAGATTTAGTATGCCAAAACTGTAGGGTAAAGGTAAAGGGACCCCTGACCATTAGATCCAGTCGTGGCCGACTGGGGTTGCGGCGCTCATCTCGCTTTATTGGCCGAGGGAGCCGGCGTACAGCTTCCGGGTCATGTGGCCAGCATGACTAAGCCACTTCTGGAGAACCAGAGCAGCGCACGGAAACTCCATTTACCTTCCCGCTGGAGCGCTACCTATTTATCTACTTGCACTTTGACGTGCTTTCAAACTGCTAGTTTGGCAGGAGCCAAAACTGTACAAGCCAATAGACAACTGAACAAGCAATTGACAGACGTTATACTTTACTGCCTGTTTTTGTACAAGTGTGCAAGGTCAAAGGATGTCAGGCGACGAGTTCTTACCTTTTTGTTCTCACTGTTGCATTTAGGTCCAACATATTCCGTTTCCACCTGGGTTTCGATTTTTGGCAGTCTGTATCCTGATTTCCAGCTCTTTCCTTCCATTGCTGGGAATTTAGTATTTACACATTTGCTTCCATTTTGTTTTGTTAGAAATGTCCTTTTGCGCATGTTTGCATATATTGCTGAATCAGGCTTCTATTTCTTTGCCAGGTGTGATCTTAAAAAAGCCTGATGCCGTCAAAGCATAAACGATCCAGTGCTGCTTGCTATCAACGTTAGGAGTTTTATCTTCTAAATGCCTTTTGCCTGAATGGCTTTCCATTATCTCAGAACCAAAACAGAATGGTTGGTAACAACAAAGTTGCATTTGTTCATATTCTGTTAGGTTGACTGCTCATGAAAAAGGAATAGGGCTTTGTTATATTTATTCCAAACCAAGTCAACAAAGGCCTTCTGCCATAAACACACATTTACCAAGCAATGAAAAGCCATATTTGGTAAAACACACCTACTTGTAGGTACTTTGTAACCATTTGCATAGCTGTTCAGAAAGGATAGAAGCTTTTTCTCCTCATATGGCTAGCAGTGAAAAGTAAACAGGAAACCAAAGGTAAGGCATCTAAACTGTAAATTTCTCCCAAACCATTGTAAAAGTGAAGTGAGAACATTTGTTTGAATGGCTGCAATCTGCTAAGCATGTTTACTGGGAAGTACATTTACCTCGGATCAATGGGATTCCTTCCCAGTAAACATTTATAAAAGTTGTATAAAACAGCATTTCCATTTATGGCCAAATGTTGCGGCTGAAGCAAATAGAATTTATCATGTCAAGTAAGCTGGCAATTTTTAATGCATAAAGTCACACATTATGACAGTACACTTGAATGGCAGACCAGAATATCAGGGTAGATTGCTAATCTGAGTGAAGGTTTTTCCCCACACACACAGGACCTCTTATGTGGATAATAACCAGCCAGTATCACAGAAACAGATTTCTGTGATTCTGCTTCATTCATGTTTGTGATTTACAACACTTTTATGGCTTTTGTTGAAGGAGTAAAAAAGTTTGCAGAACTAATATGGCACTGGCAAGATCCAGCTCTACAGCAAATCAGCTTTTTAACTTACATTTATCAAGAGTAGAGGTGAAATAATTCAACAAACTTCATGATTATTAAGGTTACATAGATAAAGTTTAGTTTATTACAATGGTATCCAAATACAGAGCAGCTTTTTTCATGGTGTGATGTGCCAGGATGAATAAAATGAAACAATACCAATCAATTTAGATTGCAAAAAATGAAATACCCCTCCCCCCTTTCAAATGAGGTGAACACTATTTTGAAATGAATTTAGTTTATTAATATGTAAAAAAATAAATCTACAAGAGCAACAGTGCAAACATTTCAGGACTTGCATGGCACAAAAAATGAAAGTGAGTACAATCAGAGTTATTATACAAAAGGCCCACTCTTTCTTACAGCAGTGGTTGATGTGTACAGAACAATCAATAGAGTTAAAAACAGATTGCAGTTTAAGCAGGAAGTTGAACTACAGACAATTGGTTCTGTCCTGTAGGGTCTTTCTATTTGAGGTGGTGAAGTTATCATTCCTTGTATCTGAAATTTAAAATGAAATAAAATTATAAGCTGCATATACTACTGGGCTCTATAAAGAATTTAGCTGACATCTGTGCCTTATCTATATTATTTATGTATTATAGTTTAAGTCAGGGTGCAGATCCAAACTTGGGTCTCCAGCTGTTTTTGGAATACAGTTCCCATCATCCCTAACCACTGGTCCTGCTAGGGATGATGGGAATTGTAGTCCAAAAACAGCTGGAGACCCTAGTTTGGGAAATCCTGATCTAAGTAAGCACCAATACCAACAACATAGAATACTCTGGCAATTTATTATTATTATTATTATTATTATTATTATTATTATTATTATTATTATTAAGCATTTACACTTATTTACACAGATTTATTCATCCCAACTAAACCCGATGGCCGTAATCAACAGCTAGTTACTTTCTTAATGCCCTTAATATCTATTATCTAAATCCTTGCTACCTTCTAGCTGCTGAGAGTACTAGGTGTCTTGATAAGACTTTGCATTATCCCTCCTTTATAGAATTTATGGTTACTAAAGTACTTTGCAAATCCCCAAGACCATTCATACACCGAATCAGTATATTCAGCCAAGATATTAGTGAGCCCTTTTAAAGCGCCTTTTGCTTCAGTCTTCACACCATATGACAAGCAAGCAGGCAAGTCTTTCATTAATGATACTTTCCTGTTTTGTCTGAACTGGGAAATGATAGTAAATGGCTTTCAAACAAATCAAGATATTAATCAGACTTCAACCACAGCTTCATATCCTGGCTTGTTCTAATGCCATTAACCAGTTGGAAGGAAATGGGAAACAATAGTTAATGGAAGACTTCCTGGTTTGTTCACTCACCCATGCAAAGAGAGGAGTGATGGACACTCAAATAGCTCATTCATATATTGCCTTATTAATCTCAGATATGATTGTCCAATATGTTCCACAGAAAACTGAACTAGATGGTTTGATCAGGCAAGTCAATTCTTACATTGTTAAAGGATGCATTTTGACTACTGAGTTACAACCTCCTTCATGACGATTTGTGGGGTGATTTAGCATGGTGACATCTGCCCTTTGGAACTCCCTCCCACTGCATATCAGACAGGTGCCTTTATCCCAGTTGGTATCTGTTCTGGACATGAATAGATTTTATATAGAGCAGGGATGTCCAACAGGTTGTTTGGGATTGACTGGTCGATCCCTGGGATGTTTCGGTAGATAGCGGTAGATCGCTGGCTCCTCCATCCGTCCCTGCCCCCTCGCCCCATCTTTTTAGATAGCTGAAGCAGAAATCTGAGTGTCTCAGTAGCAAACTCTTGGTGGTGAGTGCCTTTTATTTTAGCTATTTGACCTAAGCTCTTAAATTAACAAATATTACCTCCCTAAAAAAAGCTCAACAACATTGACCTGAACCCCAAGAAAAAGGGGTAGATCACTGCCAGGTTTTAATCGTGTGAGTAGATCACAGTCTCTTGGAAGTTGGACATCCCTGATATAGAGAACTGTTATATATATATGCCATTTTATTGTAAATCACTTTGGCATTCCTCATGATAAATGATTCATAAATGAAATAAATGATAATAATAATTTAAATATCTGATGCAATCCAATCACCCTTTCCAACTTACAACCATGACACAATAAAATATACAGATTAGCAGTAGTTCAAGCAGTGTTGGGTTTTTATTTTTTTAAGGATTACACTTACTGTCCACTCTGCATTGTCAGTCTTGGTACATCTTACATTCACTGGTAACCTAAGAACAAAGTCATTGTAGGAAAGGCCCTGTTCTTTGGACCATTTAAACTTGTTCATTGCATCCATGAAAGACAGGTTTTTGTATTGTTTTGGACTCTTGATAATGAATGGCCAAGTCCTGAATTAAAAGCAAAATGAAACAAAACCCACCATTATTACAATAATAGTACCAAGTATTTAGAATGCTGCCTCTCTGAAAGAAAAAATATTTTTATCTGCTGTGGTATTACTGTATTAATACCAGCAACAACAGAATGACTAATGCATCCATTCTTGTCAATATTTATAATGAAAAGTTCCAATGAGCCAACTTTTATGCAGGAAATACACCCCTTAACCAGGAAACCTGCACGTGAGTCCCTGTCCAACCTATGGAAGAGGGAACCCTATAGAGCAGAGGTTTTCAACCTTTTTGAGTCCATGGCTCCCTTGACCGACTACATTGTTTCTAGGTCACCCCTGGGGGCCCAGGAGCCCAGTTATATCACCCCTTGCCTGCAGAGCTGGCAGCCTCTCACTCTTTTTTGAACACCCTCCCTTGTAGAATGTTCCTTCAACTTCCCTCTACTTTGCCCTCTTCCCTCTCCCCTCCCCTCTACTTGGGAGTCCTCTGGGCAGTCGCTGTTGCCACTCCTGGTCTCTGAGCTGCCCCTCCTGCCTCACATGGGCCTGGGAAGAGGATGTCCCCAGCCTTGGTGGCCCAATGGAGACTGGCCAAAGGTGAATGTGAGGCTATTGCCTAACCTTGGGAGGCAGCAGGCGCTGCTGGGCCTGCATGGTGGAAAGGCTACCTTTCAGCACTGGGCACTCAGCTCCCAGTCGGGCCTTGCACACAGCAAGCACAAGAAAGGCTAGTGCACCACCCGTCTGCCCGGCCTCCCACTTGTCTGTCCATTCCCAACAGCAAGAGCTGGTGGACTAGCTGGCTGAGCTCCCTTGCCTGCTTGCATGCTTACTCCGAGGCTGCCTCAGCTCCTGGCAACCAGACCCTTGGCCAGCCCCAGAGGCACCAGGAGCTTGCAGCCAGGGCTGCTGCAACAAACAGCCGCACAAGCCTCTGGGAGGCAGAGACATGAGAGAGCATCAGAAGAGGGAGTGAAGGAAAGAGGGACAGAGGCCACCCCTGCCCATCCTTCAAGGCACCCCAAGGTGCCATGGCACACTGGTTGAAAACCACTGCTCTAGAGCATGTGAAGCATGGTGCACCTCACCCACACCTCCAAATTTTAATACGTTGATTATGTTAAGTATTATGTATCTTAAGGACTGCCTTCTCTCCCGTGAGGTATATAACAATGAGTGATATATCAAATGCAATATATAGTTTTGCACCACCTCAGCCTATGAAACCACCTTGCTTACCTCACTGGTCTGTATATTTCTTTAACGCCAATAAACTGAAGTTGTTCCATTATGTCTGGGATACTTGCACATCGGGTAAGATTTATTCTTGGATAATACAGAAGGTAGGATAGGCACATTTCATTTCTGGTGCTAAGACCACCCTAAAAATGTGAACAAATCAACAATACACACTTCAGGATTTTTTTCAGATCTCTTGGTACCTTTGTTGAGGCTTTATGAAGAATGTTGCCTAAAATTACTCCTCTTCTTATCAATAATCATAAGAAAATGCAGATAATGTCCAAAGCAAGAGCAGCAAATAAAACTATAAACTGTATGAATGGCACCCAAGCCATTGTTAATTTGTTTGCTGACTGCGAAACTTTTATTATTTTCTTACTGCAGCTGAAGTAAAACAGTAGATGGATTATTCATAACAGGTGCTGCCAGACAACTGCAAAAGGTTTTAAAAAATAAAGAAAATCTTTCTTCTAGAAGCCTTCCTGCTGTGTCGTTTTTTCTGAACTAGGACTGTGTGTGCAAATTTCAGAAAGGTAGTGCTGACAGACAGTTCAGTCCTAGAATCTAGGCTTCTCTGCTTGTTCCCAAACCTGGCTACTACTGCCCTCTGGTGTTACCTCTGTATATCCATCATGGTTGCTGCTGCTGCCACTATGTACATAAAACATTAAAATGATGGCAAGAAAAAGGAGTAGCAGTTAAGGATATAGGACACAGGGCATGTGGCAAAGCCCACTGCCCAAATAACCTTGTTCTCTGTACCCTCAAAGTAAAAGTTGGATTTTGTGGCCCCAAACCCACAAGTAAATAACAGAGCCTTAATATGGTACATACAAGCTAACCAAAAAGTATGCTAAAGGGAGGTTAATATCTTATTTGCTGTGTAACTGCCATACAAATGACCCACACAGGTGAGTCTTATGTCCCAATTATGTAAAGAATCACTAATGGCAATGAGGTCATTGTAATATATAAAGCATTGTTCTTGAATATTAGATTGGGTCTATTATGGTACACTAAAATTATAGGCAGCAAAGAGGGCCAGATGCAATTTCTCTGGCATCAGAAGTAAATCTGCTTTATAAGTTTAATAGATCACCTACAGCAAAGCTCTAGCAGCCTTGCAGCTATCTGCCAAGAGTACCTAAATGCCTCAAAACAACATTTCCTGCAACATTTTTATCTGAAGACATTTTCATTCTGCCATGTCATAAAGTTTCTTACCCAAGTCATATGTGATCGATTTAGGGTACTGTAATGACATTCGGTGACCAGGTTATCTCCCTGAAACACAACATTTAAGGCAAACACTGTTACAAATGATAATGTTTAAGACATTTTTTGTGACTGTTTTAAAATATCTTAACAGTTTTGAGAATTTGAGTTTGAATATTTTGTTTTTTGAAAATGTAGAGGGTAGGCTGAAATTTTACTTTGTGCCACGTGGTATATATATTTATCAGTAAAAGTGTATGTAATAATTAATTTGTTAAAAGGAACTGCAAAATACATTGTAACACAGATTCCAGTTTTCACTGTTTCTTAGAACCAAAATATACAAGTAACACAATCACAAAAATCACACCTTTTTCTGGATTTGTGGTCAAATAGCAGCAATGCATTTCACTGCTGAATTACAGCATTCTCTCTTACAGCATAGTTTCTTTTCTTCAGTACCAAAACAGAAGCAGCAAAGACCATAGAAAGAAAGGTTTTGTTGCTATGAATATTTGGGATTTGGCTAGGAAGATAGTAGACCCATAGAGCCATCCCAGCCAATGAGAAGCAGAGTGGACTGGCAAATCTCTCTCACTGGATCATGGGCAGAAATGAATTATTTAAGCCAGGAGGAAGCAACACTTTTAGTTTGTAACTTCACCAGCAGGTTCATGTAAAACTCTAGAAAGTAGTTGCCCCTAATGAAGACAGAAAAGGCAAAATACTCTGCCCTGCTAAATTTAATTGTTCAGGGCCTCTTTAGTCTGCCAGAAAAGCAAGACCAGTGATACTATTCTCAGATAGGTAAGAATAAAATATTTTTTCTCTGATCAAGGGCAAGTTGCTGCATGCACCTTGCTTGCAAGCAATGTAGCAAAGTGGCATCTTTGGGAAAGCGTTCCTGAACAGCCAAGTTCAACTCTTCCCTGCACACCCACACCAAGGTCTTCACAATAATCCTGAGAGATAGTGACTGACCCAGTGTCAGTCAGTGAGCTTCAGGTATACTTCTTTGGGTATTGGTCCCATGGAACCCAACACAACTTACTTCTGTGTAAACATGGGAAGGATTGGCCTGCTCAGCTGTACATTTTCCATTGTAAAACTCAATGGAAGTTATATCTAAATATACATGAAAGGGATTGTGTTGGTAACACAGCAGGCTGCGCCTTAGAACCAGTAAGTCTGCTACGTTCCTGCAATCTGACTGGGGGCAAAAGAGGCACAACTGGGTTAGGGATAGGGATTAGTTGCGCCTCTCATATGGATGGATTCTGTTCTCAGTGGCATCCAATGAATGATAGGCCCCTCTTATACATTACTGTGGAAGCACACCACGGCCTGAGAAAGATAGAAACTGGGACATCAAATGCATATGTTAAGTGGGCCTGTGAGGCATATGTGGCTGAGAGCTCATTCGAATGTACATACTTGCGTACAGCCAGTCCAGTCACCACCACACAAAGGATTAAACATTTTGTAGGTCACTGCAGATACTTCTAAATATTCATTTGCAATAGTGTGGGGGAAGCTTAATACTGCGAGGAGTGGTAATAGCAGAACAAAACAGCTGCCCCAAGCAGGCAGATAACTTTTGGAGGATTTTAAAGTGGCCAGCACATGCCCACTGGTCATGTTTATGAATCTTAATACTGTTATTATTGGGGACAATAATGACAACACTTCTCAATCAATGACACTAGGGTCATCTATATGCCACTGCATGCATCTCTCTTTCTCTCTCTTTTGATATCTCTTTTGTTATTTAGTAGTCTATTTGGGAGCTTAGAAACAAGTTGACTATTTGAAGTAATATTTGATCTCCCCACAATAATAAAGTTGCTACAGGCAGCAAATTTTCCATGTTTGCAAATGCATAACAGTATTTGTCATGACTAGCCATCCTCCGAGCCCTGAGGTCTATCAGACAGGCTGCAACTGACAAATGCTGACAGATTTATATGGTGAGGAGCCTTTCAGTCTCAAGTTTCTGCAACTAATATTTAACTCTTATGGCAACCCCAAGTTCTTATCAGTAACAAAAACAGCAACAGCCCAAAGGAAAAGCTTATCTTAAACAGAACATCAGTTTAGAATGAAAGGCTATGAACAGAGAATTAGGAATTGGGGGGGGGGGGGAGAGCTCGAAAATGATTCATGCAAGTAAACATTAGGTTCATTGGAATATTAAGTAATAACTTTTACTGATAAGCCACAGCACAAGACGTGCAAATGTATGTAATTGTAGCCTAATTATCCTTCTTTAACAAGACATGCTGATTTCGGGTGGGGCCATGACTGGGGAGAGAAGTGAGGAGGAGGGGCGCTTAACCTGTCATTTCTCTACTCCAAATGGAAGCTTCTCTTTCCCTTCCCCCATCCCTGCATGGAACAAAATGTGTGTTTTGCAATGGCAAACATGAACTTTTGGTCCATGCTGTTGAGGGGGGGAAATGGGGGACAGCTCAGCTTGGAGAAATGGCAAAAGTATTATTAAATGAAAGAAGCACTGATTCCTACTGGCAAGATGGTCCTTTCTTCTTTCAGATACTGAAACTCCTGGAAGTTGAAGTCAAACTCATCATCATAGGCCAGAAGTTCCTGCTCGTCACCCTTGCGGAAATGACGCATCCTTATACCTCTACCAGCAAGGTGTGCATGGAGGAGCACTGCAAACACATGAATTCCACTTGGCCTCTCAGCATCCAGGGCCTGAAAAGGACCAGTGAAACTTATCAGATTACCACAGAGGGTGAGAGGACATTCAGTATTAGAAGAGCATATAGACTGCATTGTAATATGCTTACAAAAGCCATTATCCCCTCAAAACACACACACACACACACACACACACACTGTAGACAGAATGTTAAAATAATTCCTGCACACATAAAAATTTATTCCTTTTCAAAATAATAGTTTTAAGGCAGAGACAGTCCTACAAAAGGGAAAAAGAAAGAATCCTTTAAAAAACCTCACAGCAGAAACCATGGAAGCATGTGTAGATTTATAGAGCAGTAATTCAAGTTGTCAACTTAGTCACTGTCCTATGATGGCTGACCAGCAGAACAGACTTTCGAGCTGCTTTTGCTTTCCTTAAAACACTCAGACGTTTGCAAGGTGGGGAGGGGGAGTTTTGGGAGCTAGAAAATTAAGCAAAATCAGTCTTTAATCACCTCAACTATTCCTGCTTTGTAAGTTCTCACATCCTATCTCCTTAACAGCCCTTCCAGACCAGTCTATTCCCTCCCTCCATGAGTTTCCAAACACAATATTATTCAGTATTTTAAATAGCATTGTTCATTCATTGTTTTGCATACGTGCCACTTATTCAAAGTGGAACTCTCTTCCTCAAGAAAACAGCAAAGCACTGTCAATATTTTGAACAGAATATATTTGCCCAGCTGCCAGAAAACTGGTAACAAAGCACTACAGGATGAAAGTCAGAGTTATTAACTGTAGGTCAGTTTTAAAGCGCATTCTGTGAAGATCAGCAGGAAAAGAAAAATAAAGATCAAGTATTTCTTTCACTATTTCCTGTTCTATTTTCATTTGATTTCATTTAACAACTTGCATGCTGCTGTCAGGGATCCAAAGGAATTGTATATGTGCCCAAGAGTTAACTTGGATTCAGGAGTTTGACTTTTTGCTTCCTCGTTACAACTGCTGAAGAGACAGGTCAATTTTAATTACAGTGCAAAGGGTTTTTCAGCAGAGAAAAATGAAGTTAAAAGGCTGAGCTACATGTGCAGTTCTGTCTCATGTGCACACAAACCATCTTTTGATCCAGGACCTACTGTACTGCAAATGTCTGTATAGTAATGACTGTATCAGTACCCACTAGTTCCTTCAGAAGAAAGCAATTCAAATGTGCTATTTTCAGATAATGCAAAGAATGACAATGAATTGAGCAAGGCAGGAGACATACTTCCTCTAGGCATTCCAAAGTGCAGTGACCCTCTGATGTGAATTCTGGCATGCCCGGTGGGATGTTGTGGAAGAGGCTGACCCAGAGACCTGCTTCAATAACTCCAGCGTCGTAGCTCCTTAAATCTGGGGTATAAAATAGCCTCAGCCCAGAGTTATCTATCATTCCTGAGAACAAAAGAGCAATTGTCAGAAGCAGCCATAAATCAACGTAAAGTATCCTATCGGGTTTTTTTAAGTCACTTTGGGACCCACTTGTCAAGTTTATGCCAGAAAGTGACACAAGGGAGAAGTTGTGCTTAAGACCGGTCAAAGGGGGTCACAAAAACTGGGAAAGCTGTAAATAAGGTATTGTCACAAGAAAGTGGTTAATTAGAGCAGGCTGACTTCTGTACTTTTCTGACCTGAACAAAAAAATATGTATGCATCTGTGTTCCTTGTAAGGCCTTTCCAAATAGCCACTCTAGCACAATAAACACATAGTTATCACTCCGTTGTTGTGGGGTATCATCTAAGTGTCTCTCTACACCACCTGCACCAAGGAAGCACATCTGAACTGATATGCACTTAAGATGCAGTATTCATCAAGGGGGTGGAGGAATGGATCCTTCCGTAATGATCTGGAGTGCTGTCAGGGATATTTATTTGATAGTATTTGGTAAGACTGATCATGAGCAACTCTTTTCTGTCCCGTGTTCTCTCCATTTTTTGATGTTTTTAAAAATTTATTTATTCCTTCTTATATATAACATATATATATAAACAGCACATATAACAGTGGTGGACAAAGGTAAGTCAGGATCTTGGGGTGATTTCTGGCAGTTCAGCAAAACTTTTTGAATCCCAATTGTTTAACAATAGCAACACTAACATACTTATAAAAAAAAAAGATAGCTTGCCAAAACAAATATTTTCTTTCCTGAGTGGTGGAATCAGGACTTGATTGGTATGTAAAAGGATTGTAAGAAAAGTTCTGGTCCTAAAAAGAAATTATTTGGCTGAACATGTTTAATTTAATGATAATAATGTGCTAATTAAGGCATCCTGGTCCTAAATTCTAAGTGTACAGAAGTTTGCCTGTGCCTTCATTTTGATCTGAGTCTAGTTTGGGAATCTTAAAATTATGCTTAAATAAACGTAGATCCATCATGAGTGAAGTTTACCTTTTCCCTGATACATAGGACCGTAAGTGCGGGCTTTTGTTTTCTGTTAAGCTATTGTTTAATTTGCTATACTCAGTAAAAGTTAGGACTGGAACCCAGGTCCCACTTCTTTCAATATTAACAGCCTTTGATGAACCATATCTATAAAAAAAGGGGGGGGACTGTCCAATACAATTGTGATTTTAAAGGAATACCAAAATTAACAAATCAGCAACGCTAGGAGACAGAAGCAATCATTTTGTCTATGGTGAGCTGATTTCAACAAATCTCTGCAGTGTTTTTCCACTTTCGTAATATGACAGGACAGACAGTAAAGTGTAGTTGGCTATCAGCATCACTGCATGTCTTATCACAGTTTCTCTTATGAAATATCTTATCTTTACTGGTCCAGACAGCCCTTTCTCATTAATATGAATCTTTTAAAATCTAAGACTTTAAAGTTTTTAAGTGGCTAATTGCTGTTTGGATTTTTCTTGTCTTTTAACATGCTACAAGCTGTTTTGAGTGGAGCTAATCTCTCACAGCCACTGTGCAAGAGAGTCAGCCAGACAGCCAGTCTCGGAGTAAATCCCAAGTCCCTCCCTCCTCAGTCAAGTAGCTCCTCGTAGTATCAAGATAGTATCTGCAAGGTCCTTGTTACCCTAGACAGGCAGGTCAAGTTGGAAATGTGGAAAACCCAGTTGCACAACACACCCAGACAGGTGAGGAAGCATTTGTTTTGGAAAGGAAAACTACTCAGCACATGCTCAGAGGCAGTCAGCCTATGTGCCAGAATTTCTGTAAATCAACATTTACAAAAACTGATGGAACTTGAAAAGCTTCCAAACTTGGCTATAAGTCACCTAGAGGCTGCCTTGTTTGGGTGACTGATGCAATAAATAAACAATTGTATTATTTCCCCCCCACAATATGTTGATAACTAAAACAGTACAGCTTCAAAATTTCATTCAAATGTTGATCTGTAAAAAGTCAAAACGACTTTGATGCCATGCAAAAATATTACCACCCATCACATCTTTAAGAGATGCAGAACTAAAAGATGTGCATGTTTCCCCAATTTTTTTGTGAAAAGGTTTATCCTTTTGAAATTCAGATTAAGTTGTGCCGTGCAAAAACTGTTACACTAGCTAGTTTAAACACCGTCAAGTGTCCTATGTGTAGATACCATCAGGCTTGGACTTATCAACATCTGTGCACAGATGAAGCACCATGTGAATCAGATATATATGTATACCTGACTACACTGTATTGCAGAATTGACCACAAGAGCTCTATTGACCATATGTAATAGCTCCAAAAAGAAGAGCTGCAATTTCACATAAATACTGTACCTGGAAGTACAGCATATACTTTGTACTGAAGCATATGTCAATCTGTGCTTCCAAGTACAGTATTTCAAACATTGCGTTCTCCATGTGAATGTGGGCAAGAGCTAGGACAAGCCCAGGATGTTCACAAAGAAGATTATCATCAGCACTGACACTTTAAGAAAAAGTGGGATTTCATTCCCTGTTAGCTGTTTCATTTACTGGGATGAGCAGGCTAGGAAGCATATACATTTGGCATATTTTACTAATTTAGAAAGTTAAAAAGTAGTTAAGAAACATACCCTCCATATATGATGGGTTGTCGTAATGGACTTCCATAAGCACATACTGAGGATCTGATGCTGTCCCGATAGATAAGCCAACATGAGGAGGATATGTAAAGCCCTAGAATTTGAAACATGCAAATGCAATTAACCAGGTTCTACCAAAAGTTCTAATAATTTAGTTTGGAACGTATTTCAACCTCATATGTCAACTAGAGAAAATGGCAGATCCCTTAGGACTGACACTTACCAGAAATTGCTGATACTAAATATATCTATGTCTGCATGTAAACATGCAGTAATTTGGGATTTTTGTGTACATTTTGTGTATATTTCGTATTTCTTTACTATACATACATTTGCTCCCATCATTCTACCAAAGGGGAAAACTGGTACTGGTACTTGGACCTTGTTTACCTCCTTTCCTTATCTGTTGTTGGCCAAAGTGTAATAAAGGCATATCACTATCAGACACTATAGGAACAAGCCTAGGATCAGTGTACTGTATTCCAAATTCATATATTTATAGCCTGCCTTTCAATGTATTTTAAAGAACAATGTACCGTATTTTTCCCTCTATAACACGCAGATTTTTTCTCCTAAAAAGGAAGGGGAAATGTCTGTGCGTGTTATAGAGCGAATGTGTGGTCCCTGGAGCCAAAAAATCAAGTCAAATCGCGAGTCACGGAGAAGGGAAACCTGAAAAGAGGAAGTGGCAGCTTTCCTGCATTCTGCCTCAGGGTCTTACTGCCCACCCTCCTCTGTTTCGTTGCTGTGATTGCTGAAACGGAACAAAGAGCAGGGAAAGCCCCTCCCCTCCAGGCAAGCAGAGTGTCGTTCTTTCTAATTCCTCTCTGTGCTCCGGTGCTGCTGGGGGAGAGGGAGAGAGAGAGGGGGGGGGAGAGGGAGAGGGGGGGAGGGAGAGGGAGAGAGAGGGGGGAGGGAGAGAGAGGGAGGGAGGGAGGGAGGGAGAGGAGGGAGAGAGAGAGAGAGAGAGAGAGAGAGAGAGAGAGAGAGAGAGAGATGGCTGGCTTGGGGGGGAACTTTTGCCTTTCTTTCCTCCCACCCGTTAAATCCCTCTCCATCCAGCATTCTTAGCCAGCTGCTTCTCTGCACACCCCTCTCATGTCCCTTCTTTGTTTTTCCTTCGCTCCCCACTTAAAATGTGGTTACAAAGCATAGATCAACATGGATCCTCAGGATCTTTGCATTGGGTCACCCCAAATTCACCATCAGATCACATAGCATGTCCATGGCTACAGCCTGCACCAAAAAATCACGCACCCACTGTTGCCTGGGGCTGCAATGGTGCAAAAATGTGGTTACAAAGCATGGATCCACAGGGATTCTCAGGATCTTTGCATTGGGTCACCCCAAATTCACCATCAGATCACATGTCTGTGGCCACAGCATGAAGCACAAAAATGATACATCCACTGTTTCATTCAGAATGTTTTTCCCTTGTTTTCCTCCTCTAAAAACGATGTGCGTGTTATGGTCAGGTGCGTGTTATAGAGCGAAAAATACGGTAATTTTTAATTAAAAAACAACAACCAACAGCTAAAATTCTTCAAGCACATCACATTAATCAATTAAAAAATGCAGACTACGGTAAAAACACTTGTCAGTTTTCCTAAAAACACCAGCAATGATCAAGTCACATATATTCCACTAAAGAGAGAGCTCCAATTGAGAAGGCCCTGCCCTTGCTCTCTGCTAATCTAACTACTTACTGGTAGACTAGAAAGGAGGACCTCAGAGCCTGATCCAATTGTTCAGGCACCTTGAACTGAGCTGCCTAGAAAAGACTAGGCAGCCAATGTAACCAAAACATAATAAGTTGGATATGATCTGAACAGCTAGCTGCCCCAAGCCTATAAGCTTCTGCACCATATGCAGTTTCTGAACTATCTTCAAGGACAGCTCATGCACAGCATAATATAGTAATCTAGCCTGAGCATAACCAAAGTACCAGTATTTGTTGTTGAGAATAAGTGAGCTTTCTCTAGTTAGGGGTGCAGCTGCCGAACCAGCGTAAGATGGCAAAATGCCCCTCTGCCCACACAGATGTTACATGTGCCTCCACAAACTGCATACCTTGCCCTTCTGTGGAAGCACAACCCCATCTACACCCAGATGCAATTCTCCATCCAAATCAGCAGATTTCTCAGGCCATAGTTTTTCCCTCATCTGGATTAAATTGCTTGACCTCATCCCACCCCAAACTGTTGTTATTATTATTATTATTAGTAGTAGTAGTAAAAATTGCATACTGCCCTATACCCTCAGATTTCCCAATTGGAATTTCCCAATATTGGATCATTTTTTTCTTAATCTAGGCTGAGTTTATACAGGTTTATACCACAGGAATCATATTATTCTGAGTAATGACATATAATTTTAAAATTATTCATTGTTGCCTCTTGTTTACCTTGGAAAAATTCTCAGAATACATAAATGTGCTCAACAGCTAGATTTAATGTTGATGGTATCTAACCATCTTGAGACCAAGTTCAATTTGTTCCATGTAACAATTTTTGGCTCAACAAGACTCCAGCAGCTGGGCTTTAGATTTCATCATCATACAGGCAACAACTTAGAGAATGTATATCAATCATGACTAATTTAAGTCCTACTGATTTCAATGGGCTTCTGCTGCCAGAGCTCATTAGGTGAATCCTGCCCATAGTGTCTATTAGCAAAATAAGTTACAAAAACCATATATCTTACCTCTCCTCCAATGGCCCAGGCAAAAATGACTGTTTCACAGGTGAGGAATGAATCTGGCATGTTTGGGTGATAGCACTCATGACCATAGTCCAGTACACTATCATTCAGACTGCTGCTACATTGATAGAGTAGAATGTGATGAACCAAATTTTCATGGCCCTTCTGTATCAATGGTTCAACCTGTTAATGTAATAAAAGTCAATGAATGTAATACTGTTTTATCTTAGCAAATGTTAACAGCATTTGAAGAAGCAGGCCCCAGTCAAAATAGCTACAATTACAATTATATATTAGTGATATAATGAAAATGTTTAAATCATTTTGCGAGGGGGTCAAACACAAATTACACATCTTTTAATGGTGTTATTCATTAAAAGGATGCACTGAACTTAAGTTGGTGGAACTACTATGAGATACTACGGTACAGATTATAGCTGGAAGGATTATGGCAGACATGTAAATGTCCCTGGAAAACACATGGGGGTTTTTGTGCCCTGATTTGGTGTTTGGTTTGCAGATTATTAATGTGCCTTACACATTGGGAGGGATCATAACTCAATGGTAGATTACACAGTTTGCATGAATTATTTTTCAGGTTCCATCCCTGTTTGTTAGCTAAGGCCAACCCATCTAACCAGAATGTTCTCTACCCCCATCCTGAAGACATCCTGGATATGCATGTTTCCATTCTGCAAGCATGGGAAAAGAATAATAGAATCATAGAATTGTAGAGTTGGAAGGGACCCTGAGGATCATCTAGTCCAACCCCCTGCAAAAAAATGAAGAGAGTCTGTGGATACATGTAAAATGGATGGCTGAGGAGTGTGATATGGCACAGCAAAGCATATACTTCTTAATAATATAATTATGTTATAATACGACATAACAGCAACAACATAGACTTATATGGATATGGTGAACAAGAGCAGGACCTTGATTCATAATTAAACTGGAGAGGACTTTGAGTAAGGCCTCCTCGCTGCTTTATTCTGCCCTGTAGGAGCTATCATGGTACTGCAGAAGCGAAATAAAACTACAACCAGTTTTCACACACTGATCATTTCAAAGTAAGTACAGATGCAGGGTTGTGTCTCAGATTGATGTAGTTTCCACCATCTTACATGCCCCCATGTAAAAAGGACAGGTGCTCACACTATAACTAGTTTCTGAGCTATCAGAAAAGGGAAGAGTAGAAGCATAAATGAAAGCCGCAGTCACATTGCCCTAAAACCAACGACAGTTTTTTAAACTGAATGCTACAGTGTAACAATGATGACAAAATCCACCCACTTTTGATACAAATAAAATAAGATGGGAATCAGCAAAAAGGCTAGGAGGGTGTTCTATTGATCTCTGCTTGAAATAATGGAGTACTTGCCCAAACGTGTGATGCACCCACCTGCCTCTAAAGGACACCGACACCTGCTGTTCTTCTACTCAGAACTTAAAGCAGCAACAACAACAACCTCTCCTTCAAAGCAATGGGTCATCACCAAAGTTGGCAATCCTTTCACTGTCAGTTTCCTAAACATCAATTCAAACAAGTATTCTTTTGTTCAGTTCCCTTTCTATTGAAAAAGAGAATCTTCCAAAAGGTAAACAGTTTATGTATAACGCCCTTCTGCCTTTGCCAGACATTTTGCAGGAGGCTTTGTAGTTTCTCTCTCTCTCTCTCTCTCTCTCTCTCTCTCTCTCTCTCTCTCACACACACACACACACACACACAGAGAGAGAGAGAGAGAGAGAGAGAGAGAGAGAGAGAAACATTCATGAGAAGCATCAGCACATTAATTTGATAATAATTATATAAGGTGACAAATCACTGTCTTTACAGCTGGACAAGAGGCTGGAAATAACACCTTAATTATCTGACTTGTGTAAAACTGCATGCAAATATATATTGTAAATATATTTTTCATTACCCATTAAAAGATATGGCAGTTACCAAAAAAAAAAAAATCCTTTCAAGCTTAAGATGACAAAGGTGAGAATTTCAGGACATAATAAAATGAGACTTTTATTTTAGGGTACAGAGACATGCATACATTTTCTTCTACAAAACCTTTCAAATATCTGATGGTTATATGTTGTGTTTTATAAAATGTACTGTAAGAACTTTACAGGGCTATCATCCATGAGAAGTATCCAATTCTGACTAATACAGCACTTTTGTCTTTATATATTCAAAGTACACTCAAGAGCAGCACTGAAGCGAGTGAGGAGACAGAATGCAAGCAGACCTTCTACATTTCTGTTATCTGTGTTACAGTATTCTGTTATTCTGTTATCTGTGTTATTCTGTTATTCTGTTATCTATCACAGAGCAAGTATGTTGGGGAACAGCTTCCTCCCAATGCTTACTCCACAGGTGTGGTATCAAGAGTATCTCACTGGTGCTCTTTGCACACAGACCTATTGCCATGTTGAGCACTTGAGCACTTCCAGTACATGTCAACACCTGCTGCAGAATTTGAATGTGTCAAAGACCAATCGCTGTTACTGCACTTCTCCCATGGAAAGAAAGAGGCATAATGAGCCCTGGGCCAGAAAAATACCAGCAGCAATTAAATGTGGCAATGACAAGTGGTTTGAGTGTACACGCTTGTGGATGTGTCTATAGAGAAGGCTTGAATATAACAAGAGAGGCATTTGTACCTTTTCCAAGGACAGGCCAACTCAGTCTGTACTGAGGAGTGAAAGAGCTAGACAGAGCTAAAGATAATAATAATAATAATAATAATAATAATAATAATAATAATAATAATAAATTTTATTTATATCCCACCCTCCCCAGCCGAAGCCGGGCTCAGGGCGGCTAACAACAATCAAATAATCAAACAATCAAATAATCCAACATTCTAAAAACATTTCATTATAAAAATTAATTAAAATCAAATTGATAGCAACCGTTAAGCAAAATTCTGTGCAGGTTGTCAGAGGAGGGAGTCAGGCTGCGCCCTGACCAAAGGCCTGGTGGAACAACTTTGTCTTGCAGGCCCTGCGGAAAGATGTCAGGTCCCGCAGATAGGGAAGAACAGGGTCGGATTTAGGTTTGATGAGGCCCTAAGCTACTGGAGGTAATGGGGCCCTTTATATGTCCAGCTGTCCTTTGTCAACAACAAATTGTAACTGGTTTTTTGTGTTGAGCATATGCTATATGGTAATTTCTGGACCTAATAGGTATCTAAAGCCATTTGCCACTGTTGCTGCATGTAGGTTTCATTTTATTTGTTTTTTATCTTATATTTTGGAAATGTACATCCAGGGTTTTTTTTCCCCTTTAAATTTTTGGGGCCCCCAAGAGAGTGGGGCCCAAAGCTGTAGCTTGTTTAGCTTATATGGAAATCCGGCACTGGGTAAGAACATAATAAGAGCTTGCTGGATCAGGCCAATGGCCTATCTAGTCCAGCATCCTGTTCTCACAGCAGCCAAACAAATTCTTCCCTTTCCACCCCAGTGTCCTCGGGTGCAATGCCATACTTTCCTTAGCTACCAAAGTAAAAGTAAGAGATGGTACAGGGGCAACTGTGGAGATGGCTTACAAAACTACTTCCTTCCACGACTCTTATATGCCATACTAAAACTCAGATACAGGCTTAGTCCACAATTCTACCCACAGAGCCTCAGGAACAAATCTATTTTGCTATTAGCTCTATTCTTTGCCTTTGCAGAGTCCGCTGGGCTTTTCCCTCTACACACCCCAAGGTCCCCCAGCCAGAGGAATATTTGAAATCAAAAGTTGCCCTAACATCGTGACCCCTATCACTGAGAACAGAGGAGTCAGCTCCTTTCTGTCTCTTCATCTTCCTAGGCACATCTTGGGTTATTTATATTATGAGTGCACAGCCAGGGGCATGTGCATTTTACTTACTAGTGCCTAGTATAAAAAGATTCTCTTGCATTTTATCTTAACCTTAAGCAAGCTGGTCTAATATTATACACCTTGCTGCTGACATCTGTAAGAGCTGGAGTAATGCTAGGATTCTGTACTCTCTGAAATGCTTTGGAGTGTATGTTTGCCTTCTTAATAAGCATGTTTTCATTTTAACCAGAAGTAGTTAAGACATTGGGTGTATTAACTTGTTTTTTCTGGGAGAAACCACCTAAATTACCGTACTTGTACTTACAGTACCTTAGTATATGTGGTGTAGACGAGTTGACAAGAAAATCAATAACTGGAAAAAGGAAGAGGTTTAGAAGCTTTTATAAATCTAGTACTCCACTGTGAGTACTAGATTTCCAGACAGCCTGGTATATGAAGTGGCTTTGGTAATAACGGTAACAAATTATAACAACTGCAAACTACAAGAAAATGTCTTTTAAGTTGGAAGGAAAGTAAGACAGACAGACTCCTTAGGTTCTCCATAATTGACAAAACACATGACGAAAACTAATCTAGGATTTCAAGGAGAATAAATTGTGATGAAACTTCCTAGTTTGTTCTTCTATTTACAAAACCATTCCTAACAGTTCTGTTCCAATAATTATACAGTACAGTAAGCTCACAACTTACACACATTTAACTTGGCCACATTCAGCTGTATGCATGTGGCAATTTTATTTTTTTATTTTTTTAAAGGGCTGCAAAGAAGGTGGCTTCTGGGGGAAATGCCTTTGGCAATCTCACCTGCCACTGAATCCAATGGTTTTTGACTATATGAGATTTTGGCAATCCCTGGAACCTAACCCCCGTGTAATTTGCAAGCTTAATATATGCTGTTTTAAGATTGGGAAGGAATAATGACATCATGGATATGTAGTTAGTTTTATTGTTAATTATATTTCACAAGTTTTGTGGACTAAGCAAAATAATAAGGATTTGGTAATCAATTAATTAGCATTCTTTCATAATTCACAATATCAATCTTGGGTGGTAAACTAAATGGCTAAGCAATATAGCCAGCTGCAGAGGGCTGTGCCCCTTTTGAGAGTAAATATACAGTAGTTCTAAGCTGCAGTGTATTTCCTATGTGTTGACTGTTTTTATATATCATGAAATATTTGTGTTTGTATTTAGAATGAATATTTTTTCCTCTGCAATTACCTGCAAGATTACACTTACGTTCTTGCTTTCCCCAAAATACTTTTTGCATTCTATATGTTGCTAAAATTGCAAGATAAAAAAGCAGCTGTCAAGTTCAAGTTCCATGAACAAGTTGGCAAGAAATACTGTAATGTCA